ATGTGGGATCCCCCGGGAAAACAGTGACACTTTACATGAGACGACTGTCTGTTGTGGGAACCCCGGGGAAACAGTGACAACTAAAATGAGGCGACCGTCTGTTGTGGGACCCCCCGGGGAAACAATGACACCTAACATGGGGCGACCGTCTAATGTGGGATCCCCCGGGAAAACAGTGACACTTTACATGAGACGACCGTCTGTTGTGGGAACCCCGGGGAAACAGTGACAACTAAAATGAGGCGACCGTCTGGTGTGGGACCCCCCGGGGAAACAATGACACCTAACATGGGGCGACCGTCTAATGTGGGATCCCCCGGGGAAACAATAACACTTAACATGCGGCGACCGTCTGTTGTGGGATCCCCCGCGGAAACAATGACACCTAACATGAGGCGACCGTCTAATGTGGGATCCCCCGGGAATACAGTGACACTTAACATGAGACGACCGTCTGTTGTGGGACCCCCCGGGGAAACAGTGACACCTAACATGAGGCGGCCGTCTGTTGTGGGATCCACCGGGGAAACAATGACACCTAACATGAGGCGACGGCTGTTGTGGGATCCCCCGGGGAAACAATGACACTTAACATGCGGCGACCGTCTGTTGTGGGATCCCCCGCGGAAACAATGACACCTAACATGAGGCGACCGTCTAATTTGGGATCCCCCGGGAAAACAGTGACACTTAACATGAGACGACCGTCTGTTGTGGGACCCCCCGGGGAAACAGTGACACCTAACATGAGGCGACCGTCTGTTGTGGGAACCCCCGGGGAAACAGTGACACCTAACATGAGGCGACCGTCGCTGTTGTGGGATCCCCCGGGGAAACAATGACACTTAACATGAGGCGACCGTCTGTTGTGGGATCCGGCGGGGAAACAATGACACCTAACATGAGGCGACCCTCTAATGTGGGATCCCCCGGGAAAACAGTGACACTTTACATGAGACGACCGTCTGTTGTGGGAACCCCGGGGAAACAGTGACACCTAAAATGAGGCGACCGTCTGTTGTGGGATCCCCCAGGGAAGCAGTGACACCTAACATGAGGCGACCGTCTGTTGTGGGAACCCCCGGGGAAACAGTGACACCTAACATGAGGCGACCGTCGCTGTTGTGGGATCCCCCGGGGAAACAATGACACTTAACATGAGGCGACCGTCTGTTGTGGGATCCCCCGCGGAAACAATGACACCTAACATGAGGCGACCGTCTGTTGTAGGATCCACCGGGGAAACAGTGACACTTAACATGAGGCGACCGGCTGTTGTGGGACCCCCCGGGGAAACAATGACACCTAACATGAGGCGACCGCCTGTTGTGGGAACCCCCGGGGAAACAGTGACACCTAACATGAGGCGACCGTCGCTGTTGTGGGATCCCCCGGGGAAACAATGACACCTAACATGAGGCGACGGCTGTTGTGGGACCCCCCGGGGAAACAATGACACCTAACATGAGGCGACCCTCTAATGTGGGATCCCCCGGGAAAACAGTGACACTTAACATGAGACGACCGCCTGTTGTGGGATCCCCCGGGGAAACAATGACACCTAACATGAGGCGACCCTCTAATGTGGGATCCCCCGGGAAAACAGTGACACTTAACATGAGACGACCGTCTGTTGTGGGACCCCCCGGGGAAACAGTGACACCTAACATGAGGCGACCGTCGCTGTTGTGGGATCCCCCGGGGAAACAATGACACCTAACATGAGGCGACTGTCTAATGTGGGATCCCCCGGGAAAACAGTGACACTTAACATGAGACGACCGTCTGTTGTGGGATCCCCCGGGGAAACAATGACACCTAACATGAGGCGACTGTCTAATGTGGGATCCCCCGGGAAAAAGTGACACTTAACATGAGGCGACGGCTGTTGTGGGATCCCCCGGGGAAACAATGACACCTAACATGAGGCGACTGTCTAATGTGGGATCCCCCGGGAAAACAGTGACACTTAACATGAGGCAACCGCCTGTTGTGGGATCCCCCGGGGAAACAATGACACTTAACATGAGGCGACCGTCTATTGTGGGATCCCCCGGGGAAACAATGACACCTAACATGAGGCGACTGTCTAATGTGGGATCCCCCGGGAAAAAGTGACACTTAACATGAGGCGACGGCTGTTGTGGGATCCCCCGGGGAAACAATGACACCTAACATGAGGCGACCCTCTAATGTGGGATCCCCCGGGAAAACAGTGACACTTTACATGAGACGACTGTCTGTTGTGGGAACCCCGGGGAAACAGTGACACCTAAAATGAGGCGACGGTCTGTTGTGGGATCGCCCAGGGAAACAGTGACACCTAACATGAGGCGACCGTCGCTGTTGTGGGATCCCCCGGGGAAACAATGACACTTAACATGAGGCGACCGTCTAATGTGGGATCCCCCAGGGAAACAGTGACACCTAACATGAGGCGACCGTCTGTTGTGGGATCCCCCCGGGGAAACAGTGACACCTAAAATGAGGCGACGGTCTGTTGTGGGATCCCCCAGGGAAACAGTGACACCTAACATGAGGCGACCGGCGGTTGTGGGAACCCCCGGGGAAACAGGGACACCTAAAATGAGGCGGCGGTCTGTTGTGGGGTCCCCCGGGGAAACAATGACACCTAACATGAGGCGACCGTCTGTTGTGGGATCCCCCGGGGAAACATGCATGGCCATTGAGAGATACATCTATCATCAATATTTTGCACTTATTGATTGAACATAACGTTACTGTGAATCATGAATTTATATCATTTAAGTTAAAATGGATATAAAGTCAAAATGTCACATGGCATATGAATTTATCACCAATAAAACACATACTTAGTACCTGTTGATAGCAGTGCTGAGACCGTGGTCGATGGTGTCGTGAGCCTTCTCGGCGTTACAGTAGTAGTAATTGTGGTTGTTGTAAAAGTTGTTGGTGTAGTAGTTGTAGGTTTAGTAGTTGGTTTAGTTGTAGGTTTAGTAGTTGGTTTAGTTGTAGGTTTAGTAGTTGTTGGTTTAGTAGTTGTTGTTGGTTTAGTTGTAGGTTTAGTAGTTGTTGGTTTAGTTGTAGGTTTATTAGTTGTTGGTGTTGTAGTTGTGGTAGTTGTTGGTGTTGTTGTAGTAGTAGTTGTTAGTGGTATAGTTCTTGTTGCCCTCGTTGTCGTCGAAGGAGGCGGAAAGCTTCCTGGAGGAAAGAAGGTTGTTTGTAAATTAAAAACTTCTTATTGTTAAAGACAAGAAGATGTAAAAGAAAACAGCATGACATTTGTAACCTAAATCAACTGCTTTGAAATAGATTGCATTTAAACAATACATGTTTTAGTGCTCGTTACAAAAGCAGCCAGATTTGTATGACATAGCACTGAAAATTGCGGACAGCTATTTCATTTATTATAAAGAGTAATGTAGCTGATTGTTGACCCCACATTGTCGCGTCACTAAGGCGACCGCTGATTTTTACCCTTATAGAAATTTAACAATTGGATATCACTGAAAATGACATATTATTAGGGTCAGAATTCAAAGTTCTTTGCTAAAACACGAAATCACCAGAGAGAATAACAAGAAGGAAGATGTATAAGGTTCGCATTATATCATTTACCGTGACAGTAATGTCATACCCTTTCTCATCACCGATGAATGCATGTGCGTACTCCTTAATGCTTTTGTTTAATACTTAATAGTTTTTAAAGTATGTTTAAAACTGTATTAATCCTCTTTTTGAATAGTGCTGGTAATCATTCCTTCGTCTTCCAATCTTAGGTGGCCTTAAATTCGCTACTTACCGAAGCAAGTTTTGCTGAAAACAGTTTTAAGCAATCCACTGAGGTCGTGAAAACTGGAAACCAGCTTAACGTTGTCAGGTGTTGAGGCTATGGCGGCTAGTTCATCTGTGTTTGGTCCCCTCCCTATACCTATAGCGAAGGTAGCTGCTCCTGTCTTATGCAGTTTCCTGGAAGCCTCAAGTGTCATTACCTTATTATTGGACTGACCATCAGTCATGACAATTAGAGAGTCCGGCGCGTCAGCCCTGTTTGCAGACCCTGTGCTCAGTGCCTGTTGTATGACGTACTCGATGGCTGTACCCGTGTGAGTACTCCCGCTTATGTACGGTATGGCGTTCACAGCAGCTATCAGTGAACGCTGGTCGTGATGTGCCATGATGTTTATCTGATACGTCGGGCTGGTTGAAAATGTGAATATTCCTACAAGTAAATCACTGATACCTATTCTCATATGTCTGACAAAATCGACAATAAAGTCTTTCTGCAATTGGAAATTGCTCGATCCAACGCTTCCTGACGAATCCACCAAGAAAAACACATCGGCTTTGGAGGTACGACACACTACAACCAGATCATCAAAATAATAACTTAAAAAACAATGTTGTGTAAAACATAAAACAAATATTAACATGTGTCAGTGTTGACTAGTGTCAATTTGGGTCCTATGTTACAAGCTTTGACCTATTCATTTATTCGGGTTTATAGGGTTCAATTACTTATTTACAGCTAAGGTTATTTAAGGACGTGCCTCCATGTGTGTAGTGTATGCGTGCTTCCATGTGTGTAGTGTATGTGTGCTTCCATGTTTGTAGTGTATGCCTCCATGTGTGTAGTGTATGGGTGCCTCCATGTGTGTAGTGTATGCCTCTATGTGTGTAGTGTATGCCTCAATGTGCGTAGTGTATGCCTCCCTGTGTGTAGTGTATGCCTCCATGTGTGTAGTGTATGTGTGCCTCCATGTGTGTAGTGTGTGCCTCCATGTGTGTAGTGTATGCGTCCATGTGTGTAGTGTATGCGTGCCTCCATGTGTGTAGTGTATGTGTGCTTCCATGTGTGTAGTGTATGCCTCCATGTGTGTAGTGTATGCGTGCCTCCATGTGTGTAGTGTATGCGTGCCTCACTGTGTGTAGTGTATGCGTGCCTTCATGTGTGTAGTGCATGCCTCCATGTGTGTAGTGTATGCCTCCATGTGTGTAGTGTGTGCGTTCCTCCATGTGTGTATTGTATGTGTGCCTCCATGGGTGTAGGGTATGTGTGCCTCCATGTGTGGAGTGTATGTGTGCTTCCATGTGTGTAGTGTATTTGTGCCTCCATGTGTGTATTTTATGTGTGCCTCCATGTGGGTGGTGTATGTGTGCCTCCATTTGTGTAGTGTATGTGTGACTCCATGTGTGTAGTGTTTGCGTGCCTCCAGGTGTGTAGTGTATGCCTGCATGTGTGTAGTGCATGCCTACATGTGTGTAGTGTATGTATGCCCCCATGTGTGTAGTGTATTTGTGCCTCCATGTGTGTATTTTATGTGTGCCTCCATGTGTGTAGTGTATGTGTGCCTCCATGTGTGTAGTGTATGTGTGCTGGAGGCGGTATTTTGATATATTTGCCTCCTTGCGATAGCGCGGATCTGATGCCGACTTTATAGTGTTACACTGACATAACATGCCGAAGGTATCCAACAGCAATCCACTCGGTCACATTATATTGACAACGGCTTAACTAGCTGTTGTCATTACCTGAAATGCTGAACGTTTAGCAAGGAATGAAAAGTACCATTTTTAAGGACAATTAGTAATGCCCAAGCCTGGGGACAGAACCCATTGCCTGTCTCACTTTGGCGAACGTTAACTAAGCGCCAAGGTAAATTGTGAGTTATTGCCAAACAAGGTGATAAGACACAATAAATGCTGTTGGGAAGTAGAGAGAGAAATATATAGATTCCAAATTTTACAGTGGATGCAGAAGATTTATTTTGGCAGCATTTGTGTCCAATTTTAGGTAACAAACATTGACGTGTTTATGTGTTGGGTATGTGTCAGAGTTGAAGTCTAAGGTCAAACAACACCGTTTCCTTGTTGGGGTATCTACTTACTGGGGTGTGTCGCTGGCACTCTCCGAGTATCAATGATTGGTTTGGTTATCATTCCTCCAAAGTTAGCATCAGTTACAGGTTGATTTCCGGTTTCAGGATTTTGACCATTCACTGTTTCACATTGGACGAACCAACATACAAACAGAAGGAAAAACATGTGACCACCATCATAGAAAAGCTGCATATTTTCCTGAATCAAGTTACCTTATAGGCAGGTCTAGTTTCGCCTTCACGGGTTTCTATGGGTTGGCTAACGTTAACTGAAAAATGACAAGGAATCTTGTCATCTTAAGTGTGGCAAATATATATAAAATTACATTTATTCAGATTTACCATGTTCAATGTAAACGTGTTGGCTTCGATATGCAAATAGAAACTGATATTAATGTGTTAAAGGATGAAACAATAGTAGGAACTTATTTGGTAATTCTAAACTTGGTTACATTTTGTTAAGCTGAGGTTATCATAGAACATAAACAAGCTCTTGTCACGACTGATAAGAATGGTTCACTATCCGCAAATGGAAACACAGTCTATGTTTCCCAGGGCTGTCAATGATCGCTTACCTGAATTACCTGGCGAGGGGCATCGAGTTTTCACTTCGTCTGTGCGTCATTCTGCCTGTCTGAAGAGGTTTCTAGTCAATAAATATCCCTTTCGTGAAAAATATGCAATTTCTGCCCTTTACAAATTTCACACTCCGATAACGCCGGCTTGTTACTGATTTACCCTCATACCGGCAGTATGCACCACGCAATAGCTCCCCAATTAACAAAAAAAATACGACAATCGTTTTAGTAAAAAGGAAAGAAAAAGAACAACACTTTCACAGTGGCATTTTTTTACCAGCATTCTAGGTTTTCTCTTTTACTGTACTCAACTTATAATTATCATTTGACGGTACTCCATTTTACAGTATCTCTTTTACTGTACTCTATTAATAAGTATTCTATGTGACAATATTTATTTTACAGTTATCCATTTTAATTTTTTCATTTAACGGTACCCTCTTTTCAATATTTATTTTACAGAACTCTTATTTCACCGTAATCAATTTGTGGTATTTTGCTTCACAGTATTCATTTTGTGTTGTTTTGTTTCACAGTATTCATTTTTTTGTGTTTTTGTTTTTGTTTCACAGTATTTATTTTGTGTTGTTTTGTTTCACAGTATTCATTTTGTGTTGTTTTGCTTCACAGTATTCATTTTGTGGTATTTTGTTTCCCAGTATTCATTTTGTGTTGTTTTGTTTCACAGTATTCATTTTGTGTTGTTTTGTTTCACAGTATTCATTTTCTGTTGTTTTGTTTTACAGTATTCATTTTGTGTTGTTTTGTTTCACAGTATTCATTTTGTGTTGTTTTGTTTCACAGTATTAATTTTGTGTTTCTTTGTTTCACAGTATTCATTTTGTGGTTTTTTGTTTCACAGTATTCATTTTGTGGTTTTTTGTTTCACAGTATTCATTTTGTGTTGTTTTGTTTCACAGTATTCATTTTGTTTTGTTTTGTTTCATAGTATTCATTTTGTGATGTTTTGTTTCACAGTATTAATTTTGTGTTTCTTTGTTTCACAGTATTCATTTTGTGTTGTTTTGTTTCACAGTATTCATTTTGTGGTTTTTTGTTTCACAGTATTCATTTTGTGGTTTTTTGTTTCACAGTATTCATTTTGTGACTTTACAGGTTTTATTTTGTGGTTCTTTACTTTGAAGTATTGAATTAACTTTCTCCATTTTCCACTTTTTTTTTAACGGTACTCATTTTTACAATATTTATTTTATAGTTATCCATTTTTCCACTTTTTTTTATAATTAAAGGTAGCCTTTTTTACAGTATTTATTTTTTACGGTATTCTGTTTTACATTTTTGATATAACGGTAATTTGGTTTACTGTTTTTGATATAACGGTAATTTGGTTCACTGTTTTTGATATAACGGTAATCTGGTTTACTGTTTTTATTTAACGGTACTCTATTTACAGTTTTCTTTTAACAGTACTCCATTCTACAGTATATATGTTTTAAATATTCATTTTACGGTATTCCATTTTGCATTATTCGTCTTAAGGTTATCTATTTTACAATAATTATTTGACAGTTCTCCATTTACAGTTATCTATTCTAATGTACTCCACTGTACAGTATTTTTGTACTCTATCTTACAGTATCTATGTTACAGTATCTATGTTACAGTATTTATGTTACAGTATTTATTTATTGAAAACCATTTTACAGTATTTTTGTACTTCATTTTACAGTATTTTTGTACTTCATTTTACAGTATTTTTGTTATCCATTTTACAGTATGTATCTACTTTTACTTTACAGTATTTTTGAACTTCATTTTACAGTATTATTGTTATCCATTTTACAGTATGTATCTACTTTTACTTTACAGTATTTTTGTACTTCATTTTACAGTATTTTTGTACTTCATTTTACAGAATTTTTGTTATCCATTTTACAGTATGTATCTACTTTTACTTTACAGTATTTTTGTACTTCATTTTACAGTATTATTGTTATCCATTTTACAGTAAGTATCTGCTTCCACTTTACAGTATTTTTGTACTCCATTTTACAGTATGTATCTGATTCCACTTTACTGTATTTTTGTACTTCATTTTACAGTATTTTTGTACTTCATTTTACAGTATTTTTGTTATCCATTTTACAGTATGTATTTACTTCCACTTTACAGTATTTTTGTACTCCATTTTACAGTACTTTTTGTACTTCATTTTACAGTATTATTCATATCGATTTTAAGGTTTTTTGTACTTCATTTTACAGTGGCATTCGTATTGATTTTACAGTATTTTTTTAATGTACTACATTTTACAGTATATTTGTACTTAATTTTACAGTATTTTTTATTTTACTCCATTTTACAATATTTTGTTCTTCATTTTACAGTATTATTGTTATCGATTTTACAGTATTTTTTTATTGTACTCCATTTTACAGTATTTCTTTTATTGTACTCAATTTTACATGTTTATTATTGTATATTTTAGAGTATTTTTTATTTAACTCCATTTTACAGTATTTTTGTACTTTATTTTAAAGTATTATTGTTATCGATTTTACAGTATGTATTTACTTCCACTTTACAGTATTTTAGTACTCCATTTTACAGTATTTTTGTACTTCATTTTACAGTATATTTGTACTTAATTTTACAGTATTTTTTATTTTACTCCATTTTACAATATTTTGTTCTTCATTTTACAGTATTATTGTTATCGATTTTACAGTATTTTTTATTTAACTCCATTTTACAGTATTTTTGTATTTCATTTTACAGTAGTATCGTAATCGATTTTACAGTATTTTTGTACTGCATTTTACAGTATTATCGTTATCAATTTTACAGTATTTTTGTACTTCATTTTACAGTATTATCGTTATGGATTTTACAGTATTTTTGTACTTCATTTTACAGTATTATTGTTATCAATTTTACAGTATTTTTGTACTTCATTTTACAGTATTATCGTTATGGATTTTACAGTATTTTTGTACTTCATTTTACAGTATTATTGTTATCAATTTTACAGTATTTTTGTACTTCATTTTACAGTATTATCGTTATGGATTTTACAGTATTTTTGTACTTCATTTTATAGTATTATTGTTATCAATTTTACAGTATTTTTGTACTTCATTTTACAGTATTATCGTTATGGATTTTACAGTATTTTTGTACTTCATTTTATAGTATTATCGTTATCAATTTTACAGTATTTTTGTACTTCATTTTACAATATTTACATTCTGTATGCTTAGACCCATTGACAAAAATTACATTCATAAATGCATAACACAGGTGTTCAAAGAATCTCAACACGTGGGAACTGATAGTAACCTGATCACACTGCGTAGTAATACACTACAAAAACTACTCACTCGGAACGACCGAACTAGATGCTTAATTCTTACATCTTAAAATATTATTGAACTGTGCTTTGTGAAATATCCACGTATTCAGGTGTCCTGTGCTACAAATAAACATTGAATATGGAACTACATTTTGTTGTGTTATTGTTGTTGACGGTTGCTAAGATCTCTCACGATAGTGTCACATTTCCCCGCGAAAAAACACTGTTCTCGCCACTGCGTTGCACCCGTGTATAAGCAGGAACAAACCCTGTTTATTTGTTTTATTCGTTGTTATATCGATCCACTGAAAGGATTCGTCAATGTAAATATAAGGAATGATATTTATTTTTTCAACATTTATGAGGTCATAACAACAATGGGTTTTTGGACATATTTTACATGAATCGCTAACGCGATTCATTCAATATGTCCATAAACCCATTGTTGTTATGACCTCATAAATGTTGAAAAAATAAAAATCATTCCTTAAGTATTATCGTTATCGATTTTACAGTATTTTTGTACTTCATTTTACAGTATTATCGTTATCGATTTTACAGTATTTTTGTACTTCATTTTATAGTATTTTTTATTTAACTCAATTTTACAGTATTTTTGTACTTCATTTTATAGTATTATCGCCGAATTATGACACACCTACAAATGCTTTCTCTCACCAATATTTATTATTAAAAACATTTACAGTTGCTATAGTGATAGTGCCCAGGTTAACACGCTAGACACTTACTATATGACACACGTTTTTATCAATGTTTGTTATCACACGAATCCACACAACCTCAATGTTTTCTAATTTCCTCTGTTTTTTTCAGTTTCCCTGTTTGGTTTCTCTGTGAGTGTAATCTCGAACATTTGGAAGCCCGTTGATGACGCATGCGCTGAGAGCACTTCTGTAGATATTCATATCTGTTGCGTCAAACCTTTAAAGACAAAAACCTCTTAAAAGCTCATACATGTTGTATTATAAATAAATAAATAAATTTTCTCAGTCGATTGGCCAATTTCCAATAAAGAAATTCTTATACTAGACCCAGATTTTCCTGAAGTTGTAGACTGTTTTCGCGTAAGGGACAGTCGATCCACTCATTGTCAATTATCTCTGCATGTTTGCTTCAATTTAAAAAATAATAATTTTCCAATCATACTGTACGAGTGTGATTTGTAAATGTGTATGACGCTACAATATTTAATTATTAATGAAGCTTCAGCACGTTTTTTGGGGTTTATAAATGAATTGCAGGTTTCAAAACGCTTGTGTGATTATGATTTTAAGGTTACAATAAGTCTGTTTGATTTGAGTATAAAGTAATAATACTTTAGTAATTGTGTTTGGTTTGAGTATAAGGCTACAATACTTTAGCACGTGTGTTTGGTTTGTGTATAAGGCTGCAATACTTTAGTACGTGTGTTTGGTTTGAGTATAAGGCTACAATAATTTAGTAGGTGTGTTTGGTTTGAGTATAAGGCTACAACAAGTGTGTTTGGTTTAAGTGTAAGGCTACAATACTTTAGTACGTGTGTTTGGTTTGAGTATAAGACTACAATACTTTAATACGTGTGTTTGGTTTGGGAATAAGGCTACAATACTGTAGTACGTGTGTTTGGTTTGAGTATAAGGCTACAATACTTTAATACGTGTATTTGGTTTGAGTATAAGGCTTCAATACTTTAATACGTGTGTTTGGTTTGAGCATAAGGCTAGACAATACTTGTGTTTGGTTTGAGTATAAGGCTACAATACGTGTGTTTGGTTTGAGCATAAGGCTACAATACGTGTGTTTGGTTTGAGTATAAGGCTACAATACTTTAGTACGTGTGTTTGGTTTGAGTATAAGGCTACACAATACGTGTGTTTGGTTTAAGTATAAGGCTATAACACATGTGTTTGGTTTGAGTATAAGGCTACAATACTTTAGTACGTGTATTTGGTTTGAGCATAAGGCTAGACAATACGTGTGTTTGGTTTGAGCATAAGGCTACAATACGTGTGTTTGGTTTGAGTGTAAGGCTACAATACTTTAGTACGTGTGTTTGGTTTGAGATTAAGGCTACAATACATGTGTTTGATTTGAGTATAAGGTTACAATACGTATGTTTGGTTTGAGTATAAGGTTACCATACTTTAGTACGTGTGTTCGGTTTGAGTATAAGGCTACAAACATGTGTTTGGTTTGAGTATAAGGTTACAATACGTGTGTTTGGTTTGAGTATAAGGTTACAATAAGTGTGTTTTGTTTGAGTATAAGGCTACCATACTGTAGCACGTGTGTTTGGTTTGTGTATAAGGTTACCATACTTTAGTACGTGTGTTTGATTTGAGTATAAGGTTACCATACGTGTGTTAGATTTGAGTATAAGGTTACAATACGTGTGTTTGGTTGGAGTACAAGGTTACCATACGTGTGTTTGGTTTGAGTATAAGGCTACAAACATGTGTTTGGTTTGAGTATAAGGTTACAATACGTGTGTTTGGTTGGAGTACAAGGTTTCCATACGTGTGTTTGGTTTGAGTATAAGGCTACAATACTTTAGTACGTGTGTTCGGTTTGAGTATAAGGCTACAATACATGTGTTTGATTTGAGTATAAGGTTACAATACGTGTGTTTGGTTTGAGTATGAGGTTACAATACGTGTGTTTGGTTTGAGTATAAGGCTACAATACTTTAGTACGTGTGTTTGGTTTGAGTATAAGGCTATAATACTTTAGTACGTGTGTTTGGTTTGAGTATAAGACTACAATACTTTAGTTCGTGTGTTCGGTTTGAGTATCAGACTACAATAAGTATGTTTGATTTGAGTATCAGACTACAATAAGTATTTTTGATTTGAATATAAGGTTACCATACTTTAGTACGTGTATTTGGTTTGAGCATAAGGCTAGACAATACTTGTGTTTGGTTTGAGTATAAGGTTACAATAAGTGTGTTTGGTTTGAGCATAAGGCTACAATACGTGTGTTTGGTTTGAGTATAAGGCTACAGTACGTGTGTTTGGTTGGAGTACAAGGTTACCATACGTGTGTTTGGTTTGAGTATAAGGCTACAGTACGTGTGTTTGGTTGGAGTACAAGGTTACCATACGTGTGTTTGGTTTGAGTATAAGGCTACAAGACATGTGTTTGGTTTGAGTATAAGGTTACAATACGTGTGTTTGGTTGGAGTACAAGGTTACAATACGTGTGTTTGGTTTGAGTATAGGGTTACAATAAGTCTGTTTGATTTGAGTATAAGGTACAATACTTTAGTAATTGTGTTTGGTTTGAGTATAAGGCTATAATACTTTAAGGCTACAATACTTTAGTACGTGTGTTCGGTTTGAGTATAAGGCTACAGTACGTGTGTTTGGTTTGAGTATAAGGTTACAATAAGTCTGTTTGATTTGAGTATAAGGTACAATACTTTAGTAATTGTGTTTGGTTTGAGTATAAGGCTACAATACTTTAGTACATGTGTTTGGTTTGAGTATAAGGCTATAGTACTTTAGTACGTGTGTTTGGTTTGAGTATAAGGCTATAATACTTTAGTACGTGTGTTTGGTTTGATCATAAGGCTACAATACGTGTGTTTGGTTTGAGTATTAGGCTACAATACTTTAGTACGTGTGTTCGGTTTGAGTATAAGGCTATAGTACTTTAGTAAGTGTGTTTGGTTTGAGTGTAAGGCTACAATACTTTAGTACGTGAGTTCGGTTTGAGTATAAGGCTACAAGACATGTGTTTGATTTGAGTATAAGGTAACAATACTTTAGTAATTGTGTTTGGTTTGAGTATAAAGCTATAATACTTTAGTACGGGTGTTTGGTTTGATCATAAGGCTACAATACGTGTGTTTGTTTTGAGTATAAGGTTACAATACGTGTGTTTGGTTTGAGTATAAGGCTACAGTGCGTGTGTTTTGTTTAAGTATAAGGTTACAATACGTGTGTTTGGTTTGAGTATAAGGTTACAACACGTATGTGTGATTTGAGTATAAGGTTACAATACGTGTGTTTGTTTTGAGTATAAGGTTACAACACGTGTGTTTGATGTGAGTATAAGGTTACAACACGTGTGTTTGGTTTGAGTATAAGGCTACAGTGCGTGTGTTTTGTTTGAGTATAAGGTTACAATACGTGTGTTTGGTTTGAGTATAAGGTTACAACACGTGTGTTTGGTTTGAGTATAAGGCTACAGTACGTGTGTTTGATTTGAGTATAAGGCTACAGTACGTGTGTTTGATTAGAGTATAAGGTTACCATACGTGTGTTTGGTTTGAGTATAAGGTTACAACACGTGTGTTTGATTTGAGTATAAGGTTACAACACGTGTGTTTGGTTTGAGTATAAGGCTACAGTACATGTGTTTGATTTGAGTATGAGGCTACAGTACGTGTGTTTGGTTTGAGTATAAGGTTACAATACGTGTGTTTGGTTTGAGTATAAGGCTACAACACGTTTGTTTAATTGAGTATACGGTAACAATACGCGAGCGAGGTTGATTAGAGTATAAGGTTACAACACGTGTGTTTGATTTGAGTATGAGGTTACAATACGTGTGTTTGATTAAAGTATAAGGTTACAACACGCGTTTTTGATTTGAGTATAAGGTTACAATAGCCACGGGGATATATTTTCACATCGTCAGTAAAATCTCGGCGTCAATAAAGATATTTTCTAATATCTATACTTATCATATACTTCTTGTGTTTCCATTTGTTTGAAGTTATATGGAGTCATCCCACTTGGATTTTATTAACTTTCAATTAGCCAACATTTGTCTGAGGGTCTGATGTTCGCTGAAACATTCTACGTTGATAACAGTAAAAAAATAATAACGTAACATTCATTTGAGGTTATATAAAAACGTCTCAGTTGAATATCCTATAAGCACTCGCTAGCATACCATTCATCCGAGGACCTGTCAAAACACTCCACGTTGAATATAGTCGTTACTCCGTTGAATCCCCCAATAGCGAAAATCATATCGTCTATCACCTACAATAAAATCGATTTCAACATTGATATTAAATAATGATTTTTGTTCATCGCATCCTTTCTCCCTAATTACTTGTTAATTACCGGTATCTTGTAGTCAGAAAAAGTAGATAAATAAATATGCCACATATAAACATGTACCCAATAACCGTCGATATACGGGTGTCGGAGGCTTTGGTTGTCAATTTTCTCGATTTTTTCAAGAGTCCTGGTTGCTGTTTTGTTTTTTCTTTTCATATATTAGATATATTTTCTTAATCATTTTGTAAGTAGGAGAAGATGGAATATTTATTTCAATGTATAATCTAAATCAAGCCAAGGTATCGGTTTAAACTGAACACTTACACTTACTAGACTAGAACTCCATTACAACACTAACTAGACCAGAACTCCATTACAACACTGACTAGACCAGAACTCCCTTACAACACTGACTAGACCAGAACTCCATTACAACACTGACTAGACCATAACTCCATTACAACACTAACTAGACCAGACCTCCATTACAACACTGACTAGACCAGAACTCCCTTACAACACTGACTAGACCAGAACTCCATTACAACACTGACTAGACCTGAACTCCATTACAACACAAACTAGACCAGAACTCCATTACAACACTGACTAGAGCAGAACTCCATTACAACAATAACTAGAGCAGAACTCCATTACAACACTAACTAGACCAGAACTCCATTACAACATTAACTAGACTAGAACTCCATTACAACACCAACTAGACCAGAACTCCATTACAACACTTACTAGACCAGAACTCCATTACAACATTAACTAGACCAGAACTCCATTACAACACTAACTAGACCAGAACTCCATTACAACACAAACTAGACTAACTAGACAAGAACCCCATTACAACACTTACTAGACCAGAACGTAAAGATACAGGCAGATCGGACGAGATAGAAAAATCTAGCATGTGGTATGACGTGGGATATCTCTGTCTGAGGTGCGAGAATAACTAGACCAGATCTCCATTACAACATTAATTAGACCAGAAATCCATTACAACACTAACTAGACCAAAAGTCCTTATTCAGGACAATGCTCACATGCTTTAACTCAGATTCTGTATTCAAGCTCAATTTTTCGTTCCGATGATAACATCTATTACAAATGGCCCAGAGGGCCTATATAGCTCACCTGGATCTCCATGCTCAGCAATGGTATATACGGCTACGAGCGTGGTATCTCAACCATTCCAAAGTTATGACCCAATAATTAAGTCATTAAGGGTGGGGCCAGACCCAATGAGCAATTCTAATATCATGATTATCATGATGACCTTAGGATTAATCCTTATATTATAATTGTGTTCGTCCCTTATTTCCCATCAATGGTATATGGTTATAGTGTGGGGATCTCAACCGTTTCAATGTTATGGCTCAGAAATGGAGTTCTAAGGAGTTGTGAAGTGTCAATTTTAATATCATAACTGTATTTGTCTCATTTTGCCTATCAAGTGTAAATGTATTAATAGGGTAGGGTTCTCAACCCTTTCAAAATTATAGCCAAGAAATTAAGTTCCCAGAGGTTGGGACAGACCCCAGGGTCAATTCTTATATCATGCTTGTGTTTGTCTCTTGATGCCTATCAATTGTATACATGTATATGGTTATAGGGTGGAGATCTCGATAATTTTAGGCCCCACCCTTCAGACCATGGTGTCAGCTTTTCATCTGGTACATTTTTATTCCCCAACCACCACAGAATGCTCCTTACCAAATATGGTTGATATTCATCATTTTGTTCCAAAGAAAAAGTCGTTTAAAGCAATATGGCCAAATTATCCCTTTTTGACCCCGCCCTTCAGCCCCCGAGGGGTCAGTTCCTCTATTTGTAGACTTTTAATCACCATCACCTAGGGAAGCTTCCAGTTAAATTTGGGCAAATTCCAATAAGTGGTTAAGAAGATGTCGTTTGAAGAAAATATTGACGGACGGATGGACGGACGCTCCCCATACCGTAATATGTCCAGTCAAAAGTTTTGACGGGCGTTTAAAACAAAAATCGTCAAGTTTGCAATTCACAGTTTCATTTACATTCAGTAACGACGACTAATTGTTGATAAAAGTTTAGTTTTAAACCCGAACACGTGTTTGGTATAGGAAAACATTCGCCTAATCAAATATCTTATGACCAAAGTGTTGATTACCTCAATACCAAAGTTACTCCGGGGGTTATACATCATAGGTATTGTCTGCCAGCTGTCCGTGAGGGGAGAGTAGCGTTCACCCGTATTCATCCGCGCAGCTCCATTGAACCCGCCCAGGGCGTATATCTGGTCACCATAAGCAATGACGCCTACACCACTGCGCCTATTGCGCATGGACGCAAAACAGGTCCACTGGTTTGTGTTCGGGTCGTAATATTCCGATGAGTTCAAGCACTCCTGTCCGTTAAATCCCCCACAGATATAAATCTTATCTAAAGTAAAGGGAAAAGACAGTTATTAATACTAAATCCCTTGCGACATTGAGACGATTTCATCAATTATTAGTTCCCAAACATGATCACTGCTAGTAAGAGTCAGTTCTTATAGCTCTTTCTATTGCATTTAAAGCCTACTTTATCTCTAATAAGTTTTGGTATTAAATTTGAAGTTGGCTTGCCATGATTCCATGTTTCCATGGTGCCATGGTGTCATGGTTTTTAAATACGTATCCATAGTTACCGTGGAGAGTGGTGGCGCTGGCGTCACTACGTTGGTGGTTCATTGGCGCGATTATTGTCCACTGATTTCGGCCAGGGAAGTATTGCTCCGCCGTATTTAGTCTCACGTTACCGTCATACCCGCCCATTGCGTAAATACAGCCTCTCAGTGCAGTGGTACTCACATAGCATCTGGAACAGACCAACCACCAAGACATCATAGTAATCGGCCAACACAAACATCCCGTCAAACAAACCGTGTAACATATTACATCAAACAGGCTAAATCTCAAATATTTACCGCTCAACAACATCGTACAAAAAATAAACAAACAATAGAACTGACCTTTTAGCGTTCATTGGTGCTGCCTCGGACCAGCTTTTTGTTATTGGATCAAAACAGCGCACACTGTTGAAGTATTCTACCCCGTCAAAACCCCCAGCGACGTAGATTTTTTTGTCAATTGCAACTGTTCCGTGGTATGCCCTAGGCCCTGAAATGTAAAATAAATCGTTCGCAGCTTAACTGTTTTCGAAACAGTTAGTTCAACTGCAGTATCGACGCAATTTTATAGGCGCAATTGAACATAGTATCTTTGTATTTCTGTTTTATTTAAGTTGTTTAGGTCACCCGGGACAAAGTCTCAGTTGACCTAATGTGATAGCTTTTTATCCGTCGTCGTCCGTCCGTAAACAATTAGCATCTTCGGCTCCTTCTCCAAAACCACAAACCCACTTCAATATTTTTGTGCATGAAGGTTCAATAGGCAAAGGCGAACAACAACCTAGAATTATATCGATCTGACCGCAGGGGTCTGAGGTGCGGGGCCAGAAGCGATCAATATAAGTTGTACTATAATATATATAGAGAATACATTTCGTTCATTATCAGTTGGAAGGATTTCAAACTTGATTAGAAGACCCTGAATCAACCACGTACAGGAGCTACGTTCATACTTTCTGCAACCTCGAATATGTCATTGCAAAATTGAAGGCACTCGGCAGGCTATTTGATTGGTCTCAGGTAAAAAATACCTGACCAAACGCCAGGCAGATGGCTGTCAAGTTTACCGTTACGCCGCCGAACTATTCTTTTGATGTGCCATTTGTACATCAAAAGATCAAATAATGTTCCAGTATCTTACACAAGGTGGCACACACGGAGCCCCCGCCTTTGTCATAACAAATCCCAGGGGTGCAGAGAGCGAAAGAGGCGTAACACTTGGAGTATGGAGATGCAGAGTCCTAAAGTGCTTTATCAAAAGTGTGAATGTCACTACTCCCTGGTGTCGAATACCCCTCTTGCGAGGGGGTAAACATTTCTATCGTTTATATCAAGAGATAACACTTTTGGGTACATTTTGTATATGTTCAGTGGGAAAGAATTAAAACGAGGTTAGAATTACCATCATGTGATTTCAGTTTGATAAAATGAGCATTAAAATCCTGATCCACACTTAGGGAATAAGGTGAGGGGCCTAAAAGGGTCAAATTGGCCAAATTTCGACAATCTTCTTCTTATGACCAAAATGTTTTGAAATCAAATCCTTTTATTGATAGAAAGGCAGGGTAAATGTATTGTTATGAACAATAAACTGATAAGACATGTATTTCATATTTATAGACTTAAAGACTTATATGATTTAACATTACATCTGTATCCAAATAATTTAAATTTAACATATGTATTTTAATGATTGAACATTTCGTTTTAATTTCTATTATAACGGTTTTACCTTCATCGGCGGAGTCACAGACTATCCACTTATCTGCGCGCATGTCGTACGATTCCACAATATTAGTCGGTGATCCACAACTCCACCCGCCAACAACAAACATCACCTCGTGTGGGACGCGGGGACGCGCGAGTGGATTGGTGATGTCGAGGTCCTTATCCTCGTCGATGTCCAGATCGTAGAGAAACTTGAGGGTCTCGATGACGAGCGGCTTACATTGATCAGTGTCTTTGACATAAGGATGAGATTTTACCTTCTCAACGAAATATTGGGTAGACAGCAGTCCTAAACGGATGGTCCGAAGCAGGACAGGGATATGACACTTCCGGTTTTCGGAATCGTAATCAATCCATCGTAAAACTGCCATGAATGACATTTCCTCGTTTTTCACATTAAGATCATCAGAGGACAATATTTCACACACACCTTCTATACCAAGATCGGTGTATTCTGTACTGATCGCCATTACTTCACTGAAGTTGTGCATCAAAAACCGATAAGAAACCCGCTCCAAATTAGGACAGAAGAAGTAACGAGCGAAGTTGTAGATGCCAATACAGTTTTCCGCCTCTAGTTCTCCGGCGAGGAAATCACAGCAGCCCCTGACAAGACCATGGACTAGGAATTGGTCAGCCGCCGGAAGTAGACATTCCACATTACTCTCGTCGATCTTAGCACGACGTGTGTAGGCATAGTCTATGATGATTTGCATGATCTCGGCTGAAACTCCTGGAATCTCAATCTCTCGTTTATCCACTGTGTCCAATGCGTTGGTGAACAACGCCCGGAAGTAAGGACTGCTGGCCGACATGATGGCTCTGTGAATTGGGAATTCCTGGTGATCAACCTTTATAACCGCGTCACAGAGCTGGCCAAATCTCCTAAGTTCGTCGAAGACGAGACATGAATGTGTGCTAAATCGTTTTCCCAGTTGGTTTCCCTTCGTAGTATCTCTGTATTCTTCAAATTCCATTTTCTAGTAAGATTGTTTTCAGCAATGTCTAATCATAGCTTATGTGTGGAGTTGTAACCACGCCCCCAACCTACAATATTTTCCCAAACTAAAGATGGTTGCCAGGCAGAATTTACACCATAATCGATGTTTGTTTGTGACGTCATAATGTATTATGTCGTGTGACGTCATCGTGTAGATAAAGCTATAACGACATAAAGGATATTGTGGTAACACACCACGTGTGCGCACGTAGCAAAGGGAAGGCCGTTCATGTGAAGTGTGTAAATCGTTCCGATATATTTTGGGCAGAAATAGTGACGGGCGAAGTTATGATATTAAAAACCAAAGTCTAAAATAATGATCATAATGTCATTGTTGGGAAACTCTAATTCAGCCCTTTTGGTTTCGAATCATTATCAATGTGAAATTAAACAACAAAAAAATGAAATTGTGATCTTTGTCTATCCCATTCATAAAGTATATGCAGATTAATATGATTTAAAATCGCAACGTAATTTTGGGAATCCCGAAATTGACCTACATTAGATTGGCTTCAATTGGCTTGACCAACATAAATGTACATGCTAAGAAAAAAAATCAAAATTTCAATGTCCTGATAAAACACGTTGTGTCGTAATGCAAGCCCAATATCGTCAAGTGCTTGGATGTTGGTATAGTGTCAAGTTATACGACGTTTGGATGTTGGTATAGTATCACGTTATACCGGATTTGGATGTTGGTATAGTGTCAAGTTATACGGGGTATGGATGTTGGTATGGTGTCACGTTATACGTGGTTTGGATGTTGGTATAGTGTCACGGTTATACGGGGATTGGATGTCGGTATGGTGTCACGTTATACGGGGTTTGGATGTTGATATGGTGTCACGTTATACGGTGTTTGGATGTTGGTTGAGTATCACGTTATACTGAGTTTGGATGTTGGTATAATATCACGTTATACGGGGTTTTGATGTTGATATAGTGTCAAGTTATACGGGGTTTTGATGTTGGTATAATATCACGTTATACGGGGTTTTGATGTTGATATAGTGTCAAGTTATACGGGGTGTGGATGTTGGTATGGTGTCACGTTATATGGGGTTTGGATGTTGGTATAGTATACGGGGTTGGATATTAGTATAGTGTCACGTTATACGGGTTTTGGATGTTGGTATATTGTCACGATAACGAGGGTTTGGATGTTGGTATAGTGTCATGTTATATGGGGTTTGGATGTTGGTATGGTGTCACGTTATAAAGGGTTTTGATGTTGGTATAGTGTCACGTTATCCGATATTTGGATGTTGGTATGGTGTCAAGTTATACGGGGTTTGGATGTTGGTATAGTATCACGTTATACGGGATTTGGATGTTGGTATAGTGTCAAGGTTATACGAAGTTTGGACGTTGGTAGAGTATACAGGATTGGATATTGTTAAAGTCGCACGTTTTACGGGGTTTGTATGTTCGTATGGTGTTACGTTATACGGAGTTTATATAGGGTATAGTGTCACGTTATACGGGGCTTGGATATTGGTATAGTGTCACGTTATACGGGGCTTGGATGTTGGTATAGTATCAAGTTAAACGGAATTTGGATGTTGGAATGGTTTCAAGTTAAACGGGGTTTGGATGTTGGTATGGTATCACGTTATACGGGGTTTGGATGGTGATATGGTGTCTCGTTACACGGGGTTTGGATATTGGTATAGTTTCACGTTATACTGGGTTTGGATGTTGGTATAATACATTGCATCACGTCATACGGGGTTTGGATGTTGGTATAGTATCACGTTATACGGGATTTGGATGTTGGTATAGTGTTACGTTATACGGGGTTTGGTTGTTGGTATAGTGTTACGTTATACGGGGTTTGAAAGTTGGTATAGTGTTACGTTATACGGGGTTTGAAAGTTGGTATAGTGTCACGTTATACGGGGTTTGTGTGTTTGTATAATGTCACGTCATATTGGGTTTGGATGTTGGAACGGTGTCGAGTTATACGGGGTTCGGATGTTGGTATAATATCACGTTATACGGGGTTTTGATGTTGATATAGTGTCAAGTTATACGGGGTGTGGATGTTGGTATGGTGTCACGTTATATGGGGTTTGGATGTTGGTATAGTATACGGGGTTGGATATTAGTATAGTGTCACGTTATACGGGGTTTGGATGTTGGTATATTGTCGTGATATACGGGGTTTGGATGTTTGTATAGTGTCACGTTATACGGGGTTTGTATGTTGATATGGAGTCATGTTATACAGGGTTTTGATTTTGGTATAGTATCACGTTATCCGGGATTTGGATGTTGGTATGTTGTCACGTTATACGGGGTTTGGATGTTGGTATAGTGTCACGTTATACGGGGTTTTGATATTGGTATGGTATCACGTTATACGGGGTTTAGATGTTGTAATAGTATCACGTTATACGTGGTTTTGATGTTGGTATAGTATCACGTTATACGGGGTTTGGATGTTGGTATGGTGTCACGTTATACGGGGTTTTGATGTTGGTATTATATCACGTTATACGGGGTTTAGATGTTGATATAGTGTCACGTTATACAGGGTTTGGATGTTGGTATGGTATCATGTTATCGGGGGTTTGGATGTTGGAATAGTATCACGTTATACGGGGTTTGTATGTTGGTATGGTGTCACGTTATACGGGATTTGGATGTTGGTATAGTATCACGTTATACGTGATTTGGATGTTGGTATAGTATCACGTTATACGGGGTTTTGATGTTGGTATAGTATCACGTTATACGGGGTTTGGATGTTGGTAGAGTATACATGGTCGGATATTGTTATAGTAGCACGTTATACGGGGTTGGTATGTTCGTATGGTGTCACGTTATACGGGGTTTGGATGTTGGTATAGTGTCACGTTATACTGGGTTTGGATGTTGGTATAGTATCACTTTATACGGGGTTTGAAAGTTGGTATAGTGTTACGTTTTACGGGGTTTGTGTGTTTGTATAGTGTCACGTTATACGGGGTTTGGATGTCGGTACGGTGTCGAGTTATATGGGGTTAGGATATTTGTAGAGTATCACGTTATACTGGGTTTGATGTTGGTATAATATCACGTAATACGGGGTTTGGATGTTGACATGGTGTCGCGTTATACGTGGGTTTGGATGTTAGTATAGTATACGGGGTTGGATATAAGTATAGTGTCACGTTATACGGGGTTTGGATGTTGGTATGGTGTCACTTTATACAGGGTTTGGATGTTTGGATAGTGTCACGTTATCCGGGATTTGGATGTTGGTATATGTTGTCACGTTATACGGGGCTTGGATGTTGGTATAGTGTCACGGTTATACGGGGTTTGGATGTTGTTATGGTGTCAAATGTTATGGGGTTTGGATGTTGATAGCGAGCGCAGCGAGCTCTTTTTGTATCGTATGCGTTGGATATATATAGTTCAAGCAAAAATCTATATATAGTAACACAAAACGAAACTACAATACTATGCGATCTTTTTTCTTTACATCGTGCAGAACGGACTTTAAAATTTGCGACGCTCTAATTGGTTTTTAATAGATCAGAAGTTAAAAAATCACCGTTTTAAACATCTCTGTGGGAATAGAAAATATGTTCACATCGTAACTTATTTGCATAAACTTTGCAAACTTTATTGTTATGGTTTGATATGTTTCTTTATTAAAACGGGTTTAACAATTAAAAGTTTTCGATATTTTTGACGAATCAGGTTAAGCAATAAAAATATTTGTGGTCTGAAAGTCGCGGGCTTCAAAATTTGCTACATTTTGATTGGTTGAAAAGACCTGAACAGATCAACTTCGCCGGGAATAAGAATACGAGAGGGTGGCCTACTGATCGACAAGAGTAGCTATTGAGCGAATTTTACCAGTATTGACCTCTCACAGACAGGTATTATGTTTGACTCTAAGGTCTACTGATTTCAATATGTGCTTGTCACTCTATCATCAAGAAAACAGTCGTCAGCATCACGAAAGCTAGGCCTGTGCAAGTCTAGTGTAAACGACAATGCTGATGTGCGCCTGGGGTATGTTACTATGTACGCGCATAAATGTGTACTTTTATGTGGGTTAAAGGTGATTGAAATAATTTATGCTTCGACTTCTTTGTCGGTTCGTGACGGTGTCACAATATCCCCCCCCCCCCCCCCCCCCCCCCCNTGTATTTGTAAGCAGATGATACATATTGACATACATGTATGGTAATGACAATTTCACAAATGCAGATTTGCCTACCTTTTGAAATTTCTAATTCTGATTATATCAAATTCCGTGGTAACATAAATAATCATCAAAAAATGTCACGTGTTTATGCCCCCTAGGTAAAAATATCACTTGAGTGTACATCAATCATCTTTTGAGTTCTTTCTGGTGAAACCATTAGGTCTTATACTCAATCAGAATAAGTTTATTGAGCAAGTTTATTGGCTGAAAATGGTCAATTTTAGCAAGGCAAGCCTAAATATCAACTGTGTCACATTGTATGTACAGAAATTACATGAAATAGCTTCTAGCCAGGCTATAACTTCATTAATTAAACATCCATGCTAGAAGATTTCCTACACTGTAAATATTTTGAGAAATCTTGTCTAAGAAATTTAGGAAATATATATATACATTTATATGTATATACATTATAATTTTGAAATATTTAACATAAAACAAAAAAAAATATTCAAGAACAGAGCAGCCTCAAGATTTTCTAAAAGAATCAACATTATTACCAGTGTTTTTGCCAGCTATTTTGGGAAAGGGTCCCTGAGCAGGAATTGGGAAAATGTCATTGGCATTTGGCAAAAATTGGGAACTTTCATCAGTATTCCCACGTCAAGGGAAATTTTAGTTTTTATCAAATAAAACCTTCAATGTGATTTGCATTTTTTTCCATCTAGCTGTTTCTTACAGTAAAATGATAGCAATAAATAGATACGTCACTTGTTTATGCTTTCTGTCCATCTATACCGGTTAAGAGAAGACTTATATAGGCTAAGCCTCTTGTCTCATCCAACTGTTCAAATTTTTTGTCCAATAAAATTTGTTGAAATAAATAAGTCCCCTTTGCATGTACCAGGGATGTGTAGTGGACTATGCATCCCTGCATGTACAATGTCTTTTTCCATTAAC